GCTATTTTTCTATTTTCTTTAATAATGGTCCTAGAAAGCTACAATAGGACTCATTCGATTCCTGAGGCCACAAGGAACAATTTGTATATCTCAGAATTTCGGAAAAGTCCCTAGTTCTCGAGAAAATAGAAATTTTAGTTTTTCGTAGTTCCGCCGCTCGCCGCTAGATGGCGCCACCTGTACCGTTTTCGACCGAATACGACAAAAATTCATTTTCTGGGTTTATTATGCATCAAAACGCATCAAACCCTAATAGAAATTTGTTTCCGACTCATTCGATTCCGTAGGCGATAAGGAACAATTTGTATATCTCAGAATTTCGGAAAAGTCCCTAGTTCTCGAGAAAATAGAAATTTTAGTTTTTCGTAGTTCCGCCGCTCGCCGCTAGATGGCGCCACCTGTACCGTTTTCGACCGAATACGACAAAAATTCATTTTCTGGGTTTATTATGCATCAAAACGCATCAAACCCTAATAGAAATTTGTTTCTAAATGCCTTAGGAACCATACTACGTCGCCAAAGTGCCGGAATATTCATTTTTTTATTTTCCTTACATGCGTGTTCGGACTCTAATTTTTTAGGTTTAGTTCTCCCGTTTCGCCACTAGATGGACGCCAATTTTTTAGTCCATAAACTGCACTATTTGTATATGCAATACTTTGTAGTTTTATATCTTTTGTTATTCTGTCAATAGAATAATAGTATTAAATTGAAAAAACAATTGACGATGTTTTTATCTGTCGAAAGTTTAATGCACTAAAGGTTATAAATAAAAAGATTCAAAAGAAATTAACGAACATGTCGGAGACGGTGGAGACTCGAAGCGTGTCCAGCAAAACGACAAATGATTCAACAAATCGATCGGAACTTAATGAACTACTCAAAAAGCGAAATGCTTTTAGGTTACAAGTGGTAAATTTATTTTCCTCAAGTCGCTTAAATATCATCTCAAGGTCGAAATATTATTTCAAGGTCGAAACCGAGGAGATGCGCGATGTATTGAAATTAATAATCGCCAAATCGAAAATCAAACATGAAAGAAAAGGAAACGAATGTCAAATTACTCACAAGTGTCAACTGGAAAAGCCTCAAAGTTTTTATTTCGAAAAGTTAAAACAATTTGCGGACAGATTGCCCTCGAATACCCTTCTGCCTGTAAACGATTTCAAAATACGCGCGAAAATTTGAATTCGAAACCGTTGTCACAATTGAATATTGCATCGTTTAGGATTGGGAGCAAAATATTCGAAATTTAGTGACGCCTAGCCTTCGAAATAAATATGCGGATATCTTTGAGGATCAAATGGAAGAAACGAAGAAACGTTATTACGAAGCGATGCACGATTCGGTATTGAAACGAGTGGTCGCGATCGAATGTCAAGAACCGTGCAACGAGGGTTTGAAAGGGATCCCGCCATTTAAGCTAGCTGGCCGAACACACCTGTATCATAAGTTTCTGAGAAATCGCTGCACGGTAGAGAGACATTATTATTTACCTCACAGATTGATGAGGAACATAGTTGCCAGGACGTACACCTTGATGCCACGATGGATCTGCGATTTTGGACGCTATCGGAATCTCGGTTACCTCGATTTTAACAGGTTATTCTCTGTTAACAATTCGAATTACTACGCTTGTACATTGCGCAGGCACAACTGCGCATGCGTCTGCGCAGGCGCACTCGGTGAATTTTTATCTTCGCGCCTTTTTACTTACTCGTTCATTACACAACGCGTTACTATACTTCTTAGTGAGTTAATTAATCTAGAATTCGGAATATTTTAGGTTCTTGGATTTGGTGGAGGCAGATACGAAAAAAGGCGCGCTCGCGGTATGCAGTACCTACTACGGTGACATCGTGCGACTGATTTCTCAACCGCGATACCTTTACGACGTACCCTCAGCATCGATGCGAGCTTTCCTCGATTGTGCCAATAATCTACTCAGTCTTCAAGTGGTTACGTGCATGATAAACACCATTGAATATCTCCTCGAAATCTTGAAGGACTGGCAAACTGTACCATTGCTAAAAGTACGTATTTTTAATCATTGAAAAGCGCGCCAATTTTAAAAGAGATCGGTAATCTAGAGAGCAACTTTTGTAGCACACATCAGTGGCGACTTTTCAAGCGAATCCTTCAAACGTTAATATTTTTTAGTTGCAACTGAAATGCGAGAACAACGAGCTGTTTCTTAGTCCAACAATGGAAGAAATTTACATGGCGTTCCACACTATCGTGGATAACATCAGTAACATCGGACAGCAATTACCGCCACTAGATTCTTGGGTTAACGTGAAAACCGATCGCGCGTTCATCAAAGTCATTCTGCCCGAATGGTATCTGGATGAGATTCATAAACGCCTGGGTGAAGTTTTAGAAAATACTTTTCAACCTCTGAACGACTACGTCTGCGAACTACGCAACAAGTTTAACGTCGTGTTTGATCCGGAAACTCGTGAAAATATCATCGCCTATGTTAGCACAGGACATTCGTTTCAAGAATGTTTAGCTAAAGTGGAAGGTTTTAATCGATTCATTCAGGAAATAAATGGCATGGTAAATCAGTAAAGTATGAATTCAAATATTCGAACTTTAATTATATGTAATTCATGTCGTATTAAAACGTACAAAAATATGTACAATTTTGTAGCCGGATCATGAGTACTTTTCTACGGGAACGATTCAGCAAGTCGCCGCTAAAGCAGGTCTTCTTCACTACACGGAAGAAGTGCGTAAATTGATCATCGAACAATTGGTTAACACACATCGAAATTATAACCTCGAAATTTGCAAAACGTTCGAAGGTATAAGGGAACGTGCCATGTACGTACCCAACACAACCAAAGAATTATTAGAAGCAGGTAAATTTCTTAGTTAATAATTTAAGAACAATAAATAAAAGTGACCCATATTTTAGGCGAATACATGATAATGGCGGCCTCAACGGTAATGAAATCGTTAGAAGAGCAAATCACCTTCTCGCTGCGTATGATGGCCTCGTTGATCGAAATGACTACATTGACAAAAGACCACATAGAGTTAAACAACACCACCGTACACTGGTTAACGCGAATAAGGCCGATATTCGAACAAAATAGCGCCGCGTACGAGCAGACGAAATTCGAACTGGAAGAGAAGCTCCACAAGACGATTGAAAATCTGAACGCGGACGTTGAAAATATGTTCCCCAGGTATAATCAAAAGATTACGGTCAACAAAATTCTGTTGGTAATTTGTCTGTCACCTAGGTTAGAAATAATGAACGATATGGACGACGCTAACCGCATACACGAGTACATCGAGTACATGCGGAAATTCGCGAGAGACTTGGATCGCATGGACGACAGAGTAAAAGAGATCAACGACGAGGAGGAACTTTTCCAATACGCCGTCTCCCAATATCCGCGAATCAAAGAGCTGAAGAATAATATAATGCCGTTTTACGAACTGATTTATCGCGGGTATCAGTGGCAGAGGCATCGCAACGTCTGGTTGGACGGACCCTTCGAGTATTTGGACTCGTACGAAATCGACAATAAGGCCACTGATTATTTTGCTGAGTTTAATAAGATTAGCAAGCGATATAAGACGAGCATAAAGATGGACCTCGCGACGAATTATCCGTATTGGTAAGATTCGACGCTGTTCACTTTGAAACCTTCTGGACAGTCCATATCAATTATCATAAATTTACCAAATAATATATTACATTTCTAAATTTATGTCATTAGTTTCATAGGGTCTCCAGACGACCCAGATCCATATCAACAGCCGGCACCGTTGAACCTCTGCTATCAACTCATCGAGGACGTGAAATGGTTCAAGGTGTGTTCTTACAACTTCACGTTGAGCTCGGAAACCTTACCATTATTTTCCTCAGTACTACATACCGCTGTTGACGGTGTTCCGGAACCCTGCCTTACGCCAGGCTCACTGGGACGACATGTCGGTCATAGCCGGCTTTGACCTCACCCCCGACGCTGGAACGACTTTCCGGAAGATCATGAACATGAATCTAATGGAGGATCTGGAAAAGTAACTTTCGCGTCGCGTCTCCTAAATTCGTAATCACTCCACGCTGCCGTTAGGTACGAAATGATAAGTACGAGTGCAACGAAGCAACTGATGCTAGAGGAGCTGCTTGCGAAGCTGATCAGCGAATGGGACGGCGTGATATTCAGCACGGTGCCGTACAAAGACTCCGGAGTGAATATTTTAACGCAACTGGACGATATTCAGGGTCTGTTGGAAGAGCAGATCGTGAAGGTCCAAGCAATGAGGGGCTCAGCGTTCGTGAAACGCATCGAAGAGGAGGTGAAGGAGTTTTACGCTCTTCTGCTTCGAATACGGTCAACCATCGACGAGTGGATCAAAGTATAACTGCATTTATAATTTTATGATTAAGTCTAAGTCTAGCTCTGTTTAGGTACAAGTACAATGGATGTATTTGCTGCCGATCTTCTCGAGCAGAGATATCGTGGCACAACTGCCAGAAGAGGAAGTACTGTTCGTTCAAGTGGACAGAATATTTCGCAGCGCGATGAGCGGCGTCTCCAGGGATCCTCGTGTTCGAGAGACCGCTGGCTCTGTAAGCGAAACTTCTCTTGCGTCCAAGTTAACGCATGCTTTTTAGGTGGGACTTTTAGAAATCATGGAAGAAGCGAACACGTTGATGGAGAAGGTCAACGACGGGGTGTTGAATTACTTGGAGAAAAAGAGACTGTTCTTCCCGCGTTTCTTCTTCTTAAGCAACGACGACATGCTGGAAATTCTGTCCGAGACGAAGGAACCCCTTCGCGTTCAACCGCATCTTCGCAAGTGCTTCGAGGGGATACACAAGTTGGGGTAAATAGAATGATCTGATCGCAACCCTAACAAGTTTCTGATCATCTGAACGTCTCTTTACAGATTCAGCGAAGAAATGGACATATTTTCCATGTTTAGCGAAGATGCCGAAGAAGTGAATGTCCAGGAACGTATCTCGACCACCGCAGCGAGAGGTTGCGTGGAACGGTGGCTCGTTCAAGTATGAATCACTCGCAGTAGCAAGTACTGAGATGAGGATAAGATATTCCTCAGCGTACTCGCATAATATAGCATCGAGAGATTACAGGTGGAGGAGCAAATGGTGAAATCCGTGAGGCACGAAATCCTGATGAGCTATCTAGACTACGAGGTAAACCAGCGTAACGTCTGGGTGCGCATATGGCCCGGGATGGTTGTCCTCTGCGTCGCGCAAATTTACTGGAGCATGCAAGTGCAGAACAGCCTCATGACTCACATAGCTTCAACGATGGAAGCGCTGCACGCGAAGCTCAGACTCCAAATTCTGGACATGGTGGACCTGGTCAAAGGTATTAACCTGTTCAAAGCACATACCCCTTTTACATTTGATGCTTTTCCAGGACAGTTGTCGAAGCAGAATCGCACCACGTTGAACGCTCTTATTACGCTCGACGTTCACGCTATGGACGTGGTGAAGGTGCTGATCGACAAGAAAATCAGGAGCGAAATGGATTTCGAGTGGTTGGCGCAGCTACGCTACTATTGGGAGGACGACGTGTTCGTTAGGATCATATACACGACGGTATCGTACGCGTACGAGTATCTGGGGAACTGTCCTCGGCTCGTTATTACTCCTTTAACGGACAGGTATTTATTGCAGTAAGTACATCCAATACATAACATCTTATGACTATTTTTCGTAGATGTTACCGCACGTTAATCGGTGCGTACTCCCTGCACCTGAACGGAGCACCAGAAGGACCCGCCGGCACCGGTAAAACAGAAACAACAAAGGACCTGAGCAGAGCAATCGCCGTGCAGTGCGTAGTGTTCAACTGCTCAGAAGGTCTGGACTACAAGAACATGGGAAAGTTCTTCAAAGGTCTCGCCTCGTGCGGCGCATGGTCCTGCTTCGACGAGTTCAATAGAATCGAGCTGGAGGTGCTGTCGGTAGTCGCGCAGCAGATCCTCTGCATCGTGCAAGCCGTCCGCGGCAAACTGGAAACGTTCGTGTTCGAAGGCACCGAGTTGCGGTTAAATCCCGCCGTTTACGTCTGCATCACGATGAACCCCGGCTACGCGGGTCGCTCGGAGCTGCCCGACAACCTGAAGGTGCTCTTCCGGACCGTGGCAATGATGGTCCCCGACTACGCCATGATAGCCGAGATATTTCTCTACTCGTCCGGCTTCAGCACTGCCCGCGAACTCTCCACGAAAATCGTCACGACGTACAAGCTGTGCTCGGAGCAACTGTCCACGCAGTCTCACTACGACTACGGCATGCGAGCGGTGAAGACGGTCCTGACGGCCGCTCAGAACATCAAACTGCAATTTCCTGAAGAAAACGAAGCGGTGCTGCTGCTCAGATCCGTCATCGACGTGAATCTGCCGAAATTCCTGGCCCATGACGTCCCGCTTTTCCAAGGCATAGTCTCGGACTTGTTCCCTGGCCTCGAGCTCCCCACGCCCAGTTACGACGTGCTGCTCAGAGCTGTACGACAAGTGGCCGATAAACGTAATCTGCAAGCAGTGGACGGTTTCCTGCTGAAGATCATCCAGACGTTCGAGATGATGATCGTCCGTCACGGATTCATGCTGGTCGGGGACCCGTTTGGCGGGAAGACTTCTGTCCTCCACAGTCTGGCCGATGCTCTCACCTTGATGCACGAGTGGGGCGACTCGAACGGAGCTGTCACGAAATTTTTCACGATCAACCCAAAGTCCATAACGTTAGGACAGCTGTACGGCTTCTTTGATCCGGTCTCATCCGAATGGACAGACGGAGTTTGTGCGGTCGCCTTCCGGAACTATTGCACCGAAGACACCCCGGATAGGAAATGGATCATTTTCGACGGACCCGTGGACGCCATCTGGATCGAGAATCTCAACACCGTCCTCGACGACAACAAGAAACTCTGCTTGACGTCCGGAGAGGTGATGCAAATGTCCGGCGTGATGTCGATGATCTTCGAAGCGATGGATCTAATGCACGCCTCACCGGCTACCGTGTCCCGTTGCGGGATGATTTACATAGAGCCACGGGTCCTAGGCTGGAAACCGTTCTTCCAGTCCTGGTTGAAAAACCTGAACCCTCTGTGGACACAAGGCAGCGAGGAATGCATCATCCGACTGTTCGACTGGCTGATCGATCCTTGTCTAGATTTCATCCGCAAGAGATGCCGCGTGACCATCAACGCCGGCCAGATTCACCAAGTGGTGTCGACCATGAACCTCTTCGAGATGCTGATGGAAGACCCGGTCGAACAGAACCCGAAGACGTTCGACCAGTTCCTGTTACCCTGGCTGCAGGCTACCATGTTGACTGCCATAGTCTGGGGCGCAGCGGGTACCCTCGACTACGACTCCCGGATTATGTTCAACGACTTTTATCTGAGCTTCTGGAAGAACGAGCAGACGGAGCACCCGCTGCCGGAGATCCTCGTCGAGTCCTTGATTTCCTTACCGACGGAGGACCCCATCCACGACTGCTTTTACACGTACAGAGGACGGGGTGCATGGAGACGCTTCTCTGACGTGGCCAGGCAGGAGGAGTTCCAGGAAACCCACAGCATCGTGCAGATGATGGTTCCCACCGTCGACACCGTGAAGTATCAGACGCTGTTCCTCATGCATGTACGTCGTCGTAAGCGCTTCCTTCTGTACGGAGAGACCGGCACCGGCAAAAGCTTCTACATAATGGACCTCATGATGAACAAGCTGAGCGAGAAGGAGTACCTCCCGAATTTCATAACGTTCACGCCGAACATAACAGCCGCACAGACGCAGGAGTTGGTCGTACTGAAGCTGTACAAGAGACGCAGGAACCAGTTCGGTCCTCTAGCTGGCACGCGGTGCATCGTCTTCATCGACGATGTTAACATGCCAGCGAAGGAGGTGTACGGCTCGCAGCCGCCCATCGAGCTCCTCCGTCAGTTCTTCGACCACGAGGTTTGGTTCGACCTGAGGAAGCCGGATAAGATTTACATATTCGATACCATGTTCATCTGCGCCATGGCTCCGCCGGGTGGCAGCAGACAGGAGTTGTATCACCGGTTCCTGCGGCATTTCAATCTGTATAATATTAGCAACTTCACGGAGGAGACCGTCACGCGGATCTTCACGAACATCGCGTTCGTAGGCCTGCAGCGGAACGGTTTCACCACGGCGGTCATGTCGATCATCATGGAGATCGTCCGCGCCACTATCAACATCTTCCAGAACGCCCGAGCGGAGCTCAGACCGACACCGGCTAAGTCTCACTATTTATTCAACCTGCGCGACTTCGCCCGAGTCATCACGGGATGTACTATGATCAAGGAGGAGTCTGTCGAGTCCAAGACGGACTTCACGAAGCTGTGGGTGCACGAGATCCTGAGGGTGTTCGGGGACCGGTTGATAGACAAGGACGACAGACAGTGGCTCTTCCTGAAGATCAAGGAGGTGGTCGAGAGTAATCTGAAGGAGAACTTCAACACGGTGTTCGACTACCTGCCGAAGTTCGGGGACCGATTAACGGAGGAGAGTTTGCGGAGTCTGATATTCGGGAATTTTATGGACGTCGACTTGATGCCCGCGGATCGTCGTTACGAAGAGGTGAAATCGATGGACGAGTACACGGAGGTGGCGATCTCTTACTTGGAGGATTACAACCTCACTAACAGGCGGAAGATAGACATTGTACTGTTCCGGTACGCTCTGGAGCACCTCGCGAGGATTTGCCGCATCCTGGTGATCCCCTGCGGCAGCTTGTTGATGGTCGGCGTGGGAGGGTCCGGAAGACAATCGTTGACCAAGCTGGGTGCCAGCATGGTCGGCCACGGACTCTTCCAACCGGAAATCGGTAGCACCTACGGGCTTCAAGAATGGCGAGACGACATAAAAAAGGTTCATCCGACATAAAAAATACTTCACATATTCTAAAACCCATTTTCCCAGGTGCTAACGCTCCCCGTTTTCTAGGTGCTGATAAATTCCGGTGGCCAGGGCAAGGACCATGTGTTCCTATTGACCGAAGGACAAATCAAGAGCGACATCTTCCTGAACGACGTGGACAGCTTGCTGAACTCCGGCGAAGTACCGAACCTGTTCACCATAGAGGAAAACCAGGAGATCATCGAGGCAACGCGGTTGGCCGCTCAAGGCGGCAATCGTAATTTGGACATATCGGTGCTGGCAGTCCTAGCTTTCTTCGTGAACCGGTGCAAGGAGAAGCTGCACATCATGCTCTGCTTCAGCCCGATCGGAGACACCTTCAGGATCAGACTTCGGCTTTATCCTAGCCTCGTGAACTGCTGCACGATCGACTGGTTTGATGTGTGGCCGGAGGACGCTCTGGAGCAGGTAGCGCTTCGGAGTACTACAGACATTAATGTCGAGGAACAGGTGAAGGTAAACGCTGTGACCGCGTGCAAGTTCTTCCACGTTTGCGCCAAGGACGTCAGCGCGAGGTTCTTCAACGCTACCGGGAGAAAGACGTACGTTACCACCGCTGGGTTCCTGGACCTCATACGTACGTACGCGGAGCTGATGGAGGAGAAGCAACAAGAACTTCGTCTTGCTAGGTATACAAATCTAGCTAGGTACAATAGCTAGGTGTAGCTAGGTGTAGCTAGGTACAATAGCTAGGTGTAGCTAGATACAATAGCTAGGTGTAGCTAGGTGTAGCTAGGCACAATATCGTACACGGTAAAAGAAGCTTACACGTTTCTCGTTTAACAGAGACCGATACATAAACGGTTTGGACAAACTGGAGTTCGCAGCGCAGCAAATTGGCCAGATGAAGATAACCCTCTCGCAGCTGAGGCCGCAACTAGAAGCATCCGCCAAAGAAACCACCGAGACGATGAAGAAGATCGAGACCGAGAACGTGAGCGTCGCGAAGGCGAGGATTCTGGTGAAGAGAGACGAGGACATGGCTAACGTCCAGGCCGAACTCGCGAAAAATTTGAAAACGGAGTGCGAAGCGGATTTGGCAGAAGCTCTTCCCGCTCTGGAAGAGGCGATAGGTTTCTCTCCACGACTCGAATGTGACGTTACATGATAGTTAATTGTAATTACTCGTAGCGGCCCTAAACACGTTAAAACCGGCGGACATAGCGGTTGTACGAACGATGAGGAGCCCTCCCGCAGGAGTGAAGCTCGTGATGGCGGCAGTGTGCGTGATGCTGGGTATACCCCCGGCTAGAATCGAGGATCCTACTACTGGTAGAAAGTTCAACGATTATTGGGGGCCTAGTAAGCGTTTGTTGGGAGATATGAGGTTTCTGGAGACCTTACGGCAGTATGACAAAGATAATATTCCTCCTAATGTGATACAGGTAATCTTTTGTTAGGTCAAAGATCTTGAATGTCAGTGCACTGTGAACTTAAGTCAAAGATCTTGAATGTCAGTGCACTGTGAACTTAAGTCAAAGATCTTAAATGTCAGTGAATATAGGTCAAAGATTTTAAATGTTCCTGCAGGAAATCAAGACAACCTACTTGACGAATAAAGACTTCGAGCCGAAAGTGGTAGCGAGAGCGTCATCCGCAGCTGAGGGCCTCTGCAAATGGGTGAGAGCGATGGTGCTGTACGACCAAGTGGCGAAAGTGGTGGCGCCAAAGAGAGCAAAACTGGAAGCAGCACAGAGCGACTACGAGAACACCATCAAATTCCTAAACGAGAGGCGCGAGATGCTCGCCCAGTTAACTGAGAGGCTGAACATTCTTCATCAAAGCTTGCAAGCGATCCTCGCGAAAAAAATCGAACTGGAGAACGAGGTAAGAGACACTACCTGTGGAAAATCAAGGCTAATACTGTTTAATTTCAGGTGACAAACTGCAGGAATAAACTGATACGTGCAGAGAAATTAATCAGCGGTTTAGGCGGAGAGAAAGACCGCTGGATGACTGCTGCAGCGAACTTACAGAAATCTTACGACGCGCTGCCGGGCGACATTTTAATTTCCTGCGGTATGATAGCGTATTTGGGACCGTTCACCACCAGCTACCGCGAGGAGAGCTTGAACAAGTGGATAAGCTACGTGAAGAACTTGAAGATACCGTACTCGGACAATTACGATTTCGTCGAGGTACTTGGAACCGAGATAAAAATTAATTCCTGGAATATATTTGGACTGCCACGGGACTCGTTCTCCACCGAGAACGCCATCATCATGGACAACTCGAAGCGGTGGAGTTTGTTTGTTGATCCTCAGAGTCAAGCGAACAAGTGGATTCGAAACATGGAGAAGCAGAACAAACTTGAAATCGTCAAACTGACCGACGCGAATTATATGAACATTATAGAGCAAGCTCTAGAGTACGGTACTTAAAGCCTTGTTAAAATAACCAAACGTGGCCTATTATTTCTTTTTCTTAATTTAATAATGATTTGTCCAGGAAAACCGGTGATGATAGAAAACGTCGGTGAAGAGCTGACGCCACCGCTTGACCCGATATTAACGAAGGCGATATACAGAATGGGCGCCTTCTGGCACATCACGCTCGGCGAGAAAGTGATAGAGTACAATTTGCGGTTCAGACTGTACATCACAACCAAGCTACGCAATCCGCACTACTTACCGGAAGTCTTCAACAAAGTGACAATAATTAATTTCGCGTTAACGATCGACGCCCTGGAGGATCAGCTACTGGGTATCGTGGTGGCGAAAGAGAGGCCCGATCTGCAAGAGAAGCGGGAGTATTTGATTATCCAGAGTGCAGCGAACAGAAAGGCCTTGCAACAGGTCGAAGACAACATCCTGAAGACGCTGTCCGCGTCAGGCGCCAGTATTTTAGAGGACGAAGAGGCTATAGAGATTCTGGACTCGTCGAAGATCTTGTCGGCCGACATTTTGAAGAAACAATCCGCAGCGAAGAAAACGGAAATACAGATCGATAAATTCAGAATGAATTATAAACCCATCGCGAAGCACAGTTCTGCTCTTTACTATACCATCACGGACCTGCCCAACATCGACCCCATGTACCAATACTCTTTGGCCTGGTTCATCAACTTGTACGTGACGTCCATCGACACCGCGAACAGGAGTAACGTGCTTGAAAGGAGGCTCGCGTTCTTGCGAGAAACTTTCACTTACAATCTGTACCAGAACGTTTGCAGATCACTGTTTGAAAAAGACAAGGTAAATTTAGAAGAAACATGGAGGTTAGGAGATAATTATACAAGTAACCAACTGATGTTCTAGGTCCTGTACTCGTTCATTCTGTTCACGACGATCCTAGCATCGGAGAACGCGATCACGAAGGAAGAGATAATGTTCTTCTTATCCGGAGGCGTCGAACTAGCTGCAGCTCCAAGGAATCCGGCATCCTCCTGGCTTCCGGATAAATCATGGGGCGAGATTTGTAGATCAAACGTTTTGCCGAGCTTCGCTAACTTCCAAGACAGTTTCGTCCGCAATCAAAGCGCGTGGAAGAAGTACTACGATTTGCTGAATCCTGAAGATTCACCGATACCGGAACCTTGGCAAACGACTCTGACTCCTTTCCAGAAACTGATCGTCACGAGAATAATCCGAACGGACAAAGTGATGATCATGGTAAGAAAAATAAGTTCTCGTTGATCCTGAAACTGATGAAAACTGTTTCAGATACAACGGTTTGTCAGAGATGGAATGGGTTTGAATTTTATTGTACCACCGCCGTTCGACATTGCCAAATCCTTCAGCGACTCCAGCTCACTGATACCGCTGATCTTCATATTGTCCCCCGGTTCCGATCCGATGGAAGCTCTAACGAAACACGCGGAGACTTCCAACTTCATGGAGAGATTTCACTCGATCTCTCTGGGTCAAGGCCAAGGGCCGATCGCCCAGAAATTAATCGAGAAAGCACAGAGCGACGGCGAGTGGGTGTGCTTGCAGAATTGTCATTTAGCTGCCTCCTGGATGCCCACGTTAGAAACCATCTGCGAGAAGCTCGATCCTTCGAACACGCACTCCAACTTCCGTCTTTGGTTGACTAGTTACCCATCCGAACACTTTCCGATCACCATCTTGCAAAATGGAGTCAAAATGACCAACGAACCACCGAGTGGATTGCAAAATAACATCATGAGGTAACGGAAAGTATTAATGAAAGGAAGATTTTTGCGTGGTTTGATTTTTGAATGGTTTTGAACTTTAGGTCATATAAGGCCGAGGCAGCCAGAGATGCAGATTACTTCGACAACGATCCCAGGAAAAGGCGAGCCTACTCTAAACTGCTTTATGCGTTGTGCTTCTTTCATGCCGTGGTGCAGGAAAGACGGAATTATGGGGCACAGGGGTGGAACATCCGATACGGTTCGAACGTTGTATATGTTATCTTGTAAAACGACTAAGAAGTTTATTCTCTCTGTAGGTTTCAACGAATCCGACCTTCAAATATCCGCTCAGCAGCTGCAACTGTACATACGAGATTACGATGAGGTGCCTTTCAAAGCGATTGTATATTTAACCGGAGAATGCAATTACGGCGGGAGAGTGACCGATGACATGGATCGGAGATGTTTGAACACGATACTGGAAGATTTCTACAATCAAGATGTAATTACAGATCTGAATTACTCTTTCGCGGATATTGGTCCTGAATATGCTCTTCCGAGAAGGTACATATTTTGTCGCATTCCAGAGAAAAGCATATTAATACGTTTCGTTTTAGACACGAGTACGAAGACTATATTAAGCAAATCCAAGGAATTCCTTTAAATCCACCTCCAGAAGTATTAGGGTTGCACATGAACGCGGGTATCACGCGGGATCTTGAATTAGCAAATAATTTCTTTCTGTCTATGCTGCTGATACAAGGAGCGATTGCGGTAGGCGATACTTCCAAGCAGGATGAAATGCTGTTGAATATGAAGAAAGATATGTACGATAGAATGCCTGAGTTATTCGATATTGAAGAAGCGCAGAAACAGTATCCCGTCATGTACATGGAGTCTATGAACACCGTTCTGATACAAGAGCTGGAAAGGTTTAATGTTCTTCTGAGAGAAATTCGACGGTCCCTCGAGTTTCTGGAAAAAGCAGTGAAAGGACTGATAGTGATGACGCCTGATTTAGAGGTACCACAGATACAGGCCAATAAAAATTTATTATTAAGCTTTATTATTAAGCTTTACTATAGGTTTTAGCTTTCAATATACTGAACGCGAGGATACCGCCATCTTGGGTGAAAGCGTGCGCTTATCCGAGTTTAAAACCGTTGCCAAATTTCATCACCGACCTTCTGGCTCGATTAAAATTCTTTCGTCAATGGTTAACGGAGGGCATACCACAAACGTTTTGGATATCTGGATTCTCGTTTATTCACGCTTTCCTTACGGCAACCACACAGAACTTCGCAAGAAAATACAAGATACCTATTGATAGAATTGATTTCGATTTTGAGGTTTTCATTTGAAATATCTTGTCGATACAACGCCTTAGGACGTTAAATATTTGTTCGATTTGTAGGTACTCCCCGCGTACCAACTGGATTCTTCGCCTGCAGATGGCGTTTACGTTTACGGAATGTACTTGATCGGTGCAAGGTGGGACATACAGAGCATGTTGCTTGCAGAAAGTCACCCGAAAATACTCTGGGATCTTATTCCTATTATATGGATGAAACCTTGCAAAGTAGATTTGATTTATGTAAAACAGCGATACAAGTGTCCTCTTTATATAACATCTGCCCGTTTTGGTGTTCTGAAAACAACCGGGCATTCAACGAATTATGTATTGTCTCTTCTTCTGGATTCTGATTACCCTTCCCGACATTGGATTAAAAGAGGGCTGGCCTTAATTTGTCAACTCGACAACTGAAGGTCACTGAAGCTCTGCTTTTTTATCATTCTAATCGAAATACACATCGCTACATGTGATGACACTTCGTAAATATATCACAATTCGCTAGATGGCACTACGGTCCGTTTTCATATGGATTTTGAACATTCCAACTACTAATGGCGATAACGGTATTTAATAAATAATAAAGCTTGTGCTGATGTATAGATGTAATAAACAAGACTATTTAAATTTGTTAGTTGTTTTATTACCTCGTTATGTTTAATATATTACAATCTACGACATAAGAGAAGAATTAGTATTGATCACGTTTGTACTTTTTATACACATTTTTATTTATATCTCATCTTTTAAGAAAAGTAAATATGTATTTTCATATGTATATAAAAATGTAAATATTACAATATCGTTTCTGTACATGTTATTGATCAATTTTTTGAATGTTGAAAATTAAGTGTTGTTATTATCATTGAAAGGAATGTTCTTCTTCTGGGCTCAGAGAGCATTCGACATTTTGCTGAGTAACGAAAACATTCTGCGTTTTTGTTGATATGTTTCCCTGTTATAAAACACTTTCAATAATTATTCAAGTTACAAATTAAGTGTATTGGTTTAGTAATGTACATACCTGAGACACTGTTGTGGTACCATGGTTACTGCTTGACATACAGACAACTACTAATTTCGTTGCATTACTTTGTATGTGTGTTTTTTGTTGAGTCACATTGCTTTGAGCTATTTTAACTTGTTGTTGCTGCGATGATTGCTGTTGCGGTTGTGGCTGAGATTGTTGTTGTATTGCACTAGTGTTAATATTTGTGGCAGTCGGTGTTTGAGATCGTGACTGCAAGATCACAAACTTCTGTCCACCGCCTGTAGTTGTTCCACCACTGGCTCTACTTGTACCGAGCATAATTGTACGTCCAGTTTGTTGACCAGGACTAGAACTTGTTACTTTAATAAAACATAAATAAATAAGTAGTGAATAACTTGAAACTAATATTCAGAGTTTCAAATAGGTAAAAATAACATTACCTGCTTGAACGATAGTCTTTCCAGTGCACGTAGGACCTTGTTGGCTTGTCGTTAAAGCTGTTGTCGATGCAGTCGTGGCTAAAGTAACCGGTTGGGTGCGAGCTTTTGCAACTGCTGCACATAAGGCAGGGCCTATGTAACCATAATCTTGTTTGTAATCTTCTACGTAGTCTGGTGGAGATCGTATTGTTTTTAAAACGGGCGCCACTGACTTCTATAAATGTAACACAATTTGACATTAACTTTTACACCAAAATGTAATTAATTTTTAAAGCACACAACATTTACCACAAGAAGGGTTTTTATGTGACCTGCTCCATTTTTATCTACACTCGACAAACCGGGTCCTTCTATACATGACTCGATTCGTTCAGAAATTGATTTAATTTTGGGAATAACTAATGCTTTAATTACTTCTGGACCTAATTCACATAATCCTTCAATTGCACCATAAAGAGATGCCAGCGGAGTCTAGAAAATTCACGATTAATACAGTTTTATTACTAATTTTTAATATTCTGAAATCCTTCTAACGTACCTGACTGTTTTTAGCTAAAGCTTGACTGAACATTCTAGTTACTCTGGTTTGTACATTATTTGTAGAAGTGTTAAAATTTTTACAAATTTGAGCCATAAGGCGTGATGCAAAATCGCGAAGAGCCCAGTGATTATCTACATCTGGCCTCATGCATAATTGTCGTGAAACTATACAAGTCGCAATAGATGGTATCAATTCGTGCAACTGTAAATTAAAATACGATGTCAACATACACTGCATATTTCACATGATGGAAACTGAAAATTATGATACGTACATATTTTTCTAGATAAAGGCTAGGATTATCCAGAAGAGCTTTAACCATACGCATTAGATAAATGAGAAGTGCAAGATTATTTTGCACTACGTTGACGCGAACACCTTCCGCGATAAAGGTGCACATACGTGCTAACATTTCGTGTAAACCAGGGTCAGCGGAAAGGGATTGAAGTGCTTCTGCTCTGCGTGCTTCGTCTGATCCAACACAAGCTTCCGTAATTTCTTTGTAATATAGTTGTTGTTCAACACTTAATTCATGAGTAGCTAGTTGTTTGACATGAACAGTTTCTACATTGCGTAATTTCTGACTCTTGCCACCACCTCCTGGCTTTCCAACACCAATATTTTGACTCTTATTCGAGAGTTTACTTGTGGGATCAACGCTTTCCAATTTTTGAACATCTATTGTATCATTAATAAATTGACATTAGTATTTGAAAGTATAAATTTATATATTGAACTATTACCTTTAGAGACTGGAGGTGGGTTTTCTGGTATTGTAGGTTGAACACCATCTATACAAAGCCAATGGGCACGCAGTGTAATTTCTAAAGGTAATTTAGGCCATGTTTGTCCACTAGACATAGATATAACTTCATTAAGATCAATTTCCTTTTCCTCTACGAAATGTAGTTCTCTACCACCACCAGAAGCAAAACGGAATGGTATATGATCCTTGGCAAAAAATCCATACGTTGGTTCAATGTTTTTAATTTTCAAAGCATGATCAATATCATATGTTGTCATACGCTGACGTTTCCCATGTCTCATAAATTTTGCTGCATCCTAAATATCAGACATTGAAGCAGAATAACTTTCGCACAAATAACAGACAAAACTAAATGTATGGAATTTAAAATCATGCAAACCTGTATGATTTCCTTAAGCCTATAGCTCACATCTTCTGCAAGGTCTTTAGCAGCTTCATCCGGAAAATTTCCAACACCTATACTTTCTGCAATTACTTTTATTGATTCTTGGGATAGTGTAGTACCATAAATGGAATCGCTTTCATTCATCTTTAAAGTATTTTGTTTATTGCATTCCATGCAATATAATTTGAAGTCTTTCCTTTAAAAATCTATATGTAAATTAATTGTAGAAATATATTTAATAATTTGGAAATCCGTTTTAAAATAAATATATTTGTACTGTACTTACACTGCTCTGTTTTAGTGGCAATCTTGATCATTGTTACTGTCCAAACATAAACAGTAATTCCTAAACATGAATTTTACATATAACAGATGACACATAATAAAAATTTTCACTTTATTTTACATAGTGGTTATTCAATCTTTTCATATTTTGAGTTTGAACAATTTTATATGAAGTATTAAGAAGTACAATTTCATTTATAAAATTTAATCTTGAAGCTCAATCCAATAACCTCAAACAAAATCACTGGACCACCCAACGCGATGCAATCGTAGAACAATACTGAGCAATATTACTATTCCAACAGTGACTACTTTAGTCAGTAGTGTTTACGATTGTGTTCTATTAGTTAGAAGAAAATAAAAATATAAATGATAATATTGTCACTAAAATATATAACATGTTTAATTAAATCTGTCTGTAATTTACTATAATTGTTTTTGTCAAAATTATAAGCATAATAACGATAAGCTTTGTTATTTTAAAAGCTCATAGAGAAAAATACAGAAAAAATCTCCCACCATTATTACTGACTCGCTGTTGTTTTTGTTTTAATAATGATGCTAAATTGAATATATTATAAATAACAATAAAATTTGGAACTCAATAAAGTTAATAAAATAGAAGTGATATACAAAGTATCTTAGTGCATTTTTTTCTTGACATTGTATTCAACTTATTTTATTATTTGCTAAATATTTAAACATACAACAATGCTTTCTCACAATTTAAAAAAGTGGAAAATTTTCAATATATTAGAACCAGAATTTAAACAAAGGATTCATGTGGCTGTTGTGTATGGTAATATTTAGTTTTTAACTTATATCTTTAAACTTTAAATTATTATCTTTGTTTATAGATAAAGTGATATAACGTAGAATTAAATTTTGATGAATAGGTGATTTAGGTGATAACGCTGTTATTGCAACATTTGATCACAAGATATATATCTTAGGACCTGATGCAACTAAATATTGTACAAATTTGGGTACTAATGGTATTTTTTATCCAGTGGAAGCTTTTAAATTAACTAAAAAGGATGTAAAAACCATTGCATGTGGCAATGATTATATTTTGATTCTTACGACTGATGGAATGGTACTTGAACTTTATGAAATCATATGGTATTCTTAATAGCATTAGTAATTTAATACAATTTTATCAAAGGTATGTTCAATGAGATATAATAAATGTAAAAATACGTATGAAGTAGAGAGATCAAAGAATGTTTGTGTGAAAATTCACTTAAATATTGGTTGTATTCTGGACATAGCTTGTGGATATGATTATTTTGTTGCATTAACAAATCATGGAAAGGTAAAATGAAAATTTTATATCACAATTTATTTTTTTTTAAATTAATTTCATATTTTCTTGCAAATATATATATTTATTTTTGCATTTTTTAAGGTATATATGTGGAACATTAATAGTAATGTTCCTAATGATTTTAAACAAGTGAATGTTACATTAAACAACAAAATCATTACTAGCATTAGTTGTGGTAAGAACTTCAGTATAGTAATTACAGATACAGGAGAAGTCTATAGTTGGGGTACTAATAGTGTTGGTCAGTTAGGAATTAATAGTCGTAAGGATGTAGACAGACCTGATAAAATAACAGCATTAGATGGTGTTGTAATTGGTAATTTCAAATGTCTTTTAATTGTATAAATTAAGATTTTGCTTAATGTTAGCAGTATTTAATTCTCCCACAGAGAAAGTCGTTTGTGGTTATTCTCATACTCTGGCTTTGAGTACAACAGGAGTTTTATATGTATGGGGTGGAAATAGTTGTGGACAATTAGGTCTTAATACAACAGCAAATTCTTTTGTTCCAGTAGAGGTAATGTAAAGTACAATTTAGTTATTGAATTTAAAGTGATTATGATATTTTTAGTTGAAAGAAATGAAAAAAGTACGGGATATAGCAGCTTGTTCTGCTTGTCATATAAGCGCAGCTGTAGCAGAAAGCAATGAAGTGTTCATTTGGGGAAAATGTATGGAACAATGTATTTTAGTTCCAACATGTACAACGTTAAAATGTTTGCATGATGTCTTTGCATATTATGCGTGGCCAAGAGTAACTTATCAGCCACTCATTTTTTATGATGAAAGAAATTCGAATTTAGTAAATAGTTTAGCGGAAGCATATGATAATCCAGTATGTATTCCGTACATATATATTTATGTATATAATTACTTTCACTGTCTCTTCAAAATATTATTTATACATTTGAAGGAAACTAGTGATTTAGTTTTTGAAGTGCAGGAAGAGTCCATTCGTGTTCATAAAGCAATTTTGAAAATACGCTGTCAGCACTTGAGAACAATGTTTCAAGATGTTTGGGCAGAGAGTAGACAAAAGTGAGTCAAATTTTTATTATGCATACTTACATTTTTATTGACATACTTATTCATTTCAGTCTTATAAAAAATGAACAATTTTCTTTTGATGTGTATGCCATATTTCTATACTATTTGTATACTGATGAGATTTCTCCAAATGCAAGCAGTCAAATAGGTAAATATTTATATTTTGCATGCTGTTTTCTCAATTTTTGAAATTATACTTTTTGTATAGTGGAACTTTTGAGTTTAGCTGAGATGTACAATATGAGTCAATTAAAGAGTCTTTGTGCACAAATATTGATCAAAGAACTTACAATACAAAACATAGTCTCTCTATACAATATATCTGTCAAATATAACATTAAGGTAAGTAACATTCTTGATATTTCACCTTGGGATATGGTACTTTTGAAATATTAACATATATTATACTTTATCAGGAACTAGAAAAACACTGCTTCATGTTTGCAATAAATCATATGACAGAAGTAGTGCAAAACCCGGATTTTATAGAATTAGATAAAGATGTTCTACAAAATTTTTTAATTCAAGCTGCTGAGGCTGGTGTATTTAAAACATAGTACATGATGATTATTTTATAAAGATTGTTAAGTATGTTCTAAGTAAACAAGTTACTGTATTTTATAACCAAATAAAAATTTTATAAAATTAAGAATTATAAATTACACAATATATAAAGCGAATAAAAATAATGTTACTATTTATGCAATTAAGTTCGTTAGTTTACATTTAGTTTGTTTTCTGAGCTATCTAACCTATAAATCGTATATGTACAAAAACATTTTGTGTAAATGGACTTCATGATTATCGTGTAAATTTTATTTCCACGTGGAGACGTTCCATTGATTAATTGTACAAAAAATTAGAAGATAATATAAAATATAGATAGTTTAGTGTTACAAAAAAATGACCAGCAGAGGTCTGGACTACCTACCATTCTGTATCTTTTCTTGATAGCATTGACTAAAGATGTAGCTGTAGTCAATGTTGATAGAGTCAATTGTTTTTGCTTTGTTTCCTTTTGAAACAAAGTTTCCTTTTGTGAAGTAGAATACGTATAATAATAAGAACAGATAAAATTAAGAAAAGAACAAAGATGTCTTCCTTTGAGTTAAATTATTGGCCAATTTTTAATGTAGTCGATACTGAGTTCATTTCGAAAATCCGAATGGCTATTGTATATGGTAACGTTTATTTTCCTTAATTCATATCTTTATATATCTTAATATCGCTAAATATTCTTTAAATTTTATTTAAATGTTAGTACAAAAACAAATAATACAATTTAAAATGAACTTTTATTATACAGGTAACTTAGGCCATAAAGCCTTAATGGTGACAAACGATGAAATGGTATATGCTATAGGAACTAATGTAAATTATGAAGCTGATGATATTAGTAATATGTTGGGTCCAACGAAAATCGAAGTATTATGTGGAAAGAATATAAAAACTTTAGCAGTTGGCAGAGATCATCTTTTAGCTCTTACAAAACAAGGAAAGGTACTTGAAACTTATGAAATTATATTATTTTCTTAACGATATTACTAAGTTAATATAACATTGATTAATGATATAATTGCATAAAAGGTTTATTCATGGGGATGTAATGATCATGGCCAATTAGGTAATGGATGTTATTTATCTAGTACAGAACCAGCTCTTGTAAAAATTATTAAAAATAATGAACATATTGTATATATTGCTTGTGGAAGTGATTATTCTATCGCATTGACAAAAATAGGAGAGGTAACATGACAACATAATATTAAAAATAATTTCTTTCTTTTAGATTCATTTCAAGATACACAAACATTTCAGGTATATTCATGGGGAAACATTGGTTATTCAGAAAATGTGCCTAGACAAGTACAGATTGATGGCTTTGATTCAAAAGTTACCTCTGTCGCTTGTGCTAAAAGATTTATCATAATGATTACAGAAAATGGTGAAGTTTATAGTTGGGGTGATAATAGTTCTGATCAATTAAGAACACGCTATTATTCAAACCAAAGCAAACCTTGCAAAGTCACAGCACTTGTTGGCATTGTAATAAGTAATAGCAAATTATGTTCTTGTACACTTTATACATTATTTCCTAATTTGTATAGTATTTATTTTCTTCCACAGAGAAGGTAGTTTGTGGTTCTTCACACGTTCTAGCTTTGAGTTCTACAGGAGATTTATATGTATGGGGTAAAAACGATTGGGGACAGTTAGGTACTGATGGGAGAGGAAATAGTGCTCAGCCAATGAAGGTAATGTAAAGCATATTTCTATGATTGAATTTAAAATAATTAAAACTTTTTCAGTTGATATCAGCCAAAATGAGAACAGTGTTAGATATTGCAGCTTCGTATTCCAATGATATAAGTATAGCCATAACAGGAGAAAAAAATGTATTTATTTGGGGGAACTGTCTAGGACAGTGTATTAAAAAACCAACGTACATCCGATTAAAATGTGTTAACGAAGCTTTTGCGTATTATGCACCATCTTGTAGTACATATGAACCGTTGATATTTGATGATTATGAAGTGGTACCGACTTTACTCGATTGTTTTCGGAACGCATTCAATGATCAAGTATGTATTTTTTACAGAAATCTGTATTTTTCAATCACTGACATATATTTATTCGTTTATATTTATTATATATATAAACCATATATTTATACATTTATTCGTTATTTTCCTATTGTATGGAAGACTACGAGTGATTTAGTTATAAAAGTACAAGGAAACCCCATCTATGTGCACAAAGCTATTTTAAAGATACGTTGTCCATACCTTAAAGCAAAGTTTGAAGAATGGGATAAGAACAATGAAAGGTAAGATTATCATTTTAATAAATGTTTGTATCTTTCTCAACATAGCCGGTTTATTGTAGCGTTATAGAAGTCCAGGAATTTTCCAACAATATATATGTAGCTTTTTTACAATATCTGTACACTAATGAAATAAATTTATCAGTGATGGATATAGCAGGTAATTATGCATAATCATAATCATAATATACATAATTGATGATAGTCCACACGTTAAAAACTGTATATTTATTCCATCAAGAACTTTACAATTTAGCAAATACTTATTCAGATGACAAATTGAAGGATCTATGTATGTTTACTGTAAAGAAAGACATTAGTGTTAAAAATGCAATATTTCTGTACAACAAAGCCATTGAATATAAAGCTAAGGTAAGCAATATTTGTTTGCTATTATCCTTTCAAACAAAGTAACTTTAATAAATATGATCTATATCGCTTTCTTTATTTTTAGGAAATAGAGGAATACTGTGCTAGTTTTATATCGAATTATATAACTTTAATAATGCATACTCAGGATTTTATTGATTTAAATGATAGCGCATTTAAAACTTTGCTAGTTAAAGCTATTCAAACGGGTGCTTTGAAGAAATAGTTTATGATTTGTGTGAAGTGAAGTTTGACGACCATACATCTTTTATGGTATCCGAGCAAATATTGATATAGTGAAGATAAGATATATCTTGATATCAATAAAAAAAAGATAGTATTATAAAAAGTACGGAGGATTATTTGATGTTAAGCTAACTATGACACGCGTAATTTCCATAGAAAATATGTATTAAAAGTTGATATATTTTTTTTAATATTTTTATATTTACTGCACTTGTTATAATAAACAATATTCTATTACGGTGCATTTATTCCTTGATACATTGTAAGTACATAAATATATGTTACATTAATTTACACATACACATGTAAAATGTTAGTTTCTTCATTTGATTTAACGATGATTCTAATTACCTCCAAGGTACCGTTTCGTCTTCGTGCGTACATTTCGATCCGCTCATCGATGATTTGGTCACGATTAAAAAATTGGAAAGTTGCGTATTAATCGATGTAGAATTCTGTGAATACAGAACCGTAACTGATTGAATTAAAAAGCGTTCGTTACAAAGGGGTGGTTAACAGAACGGGACTGCACTATGGTTCGCATATTATTTTTATTATGGTATTCTCAGTATATACAAGCAGTAAAATTGTTCTTTTAAATTTCTTCCTTTTGTTCGAATAATATGTAACTACCGATTAACACTAGAACTACCGAAGATAAACCTTCGTATCTACCGTACGTGTCAAAATGATCTGTTCTTATATATTATGTATATTTATGTTAGATCGAGTGAAAATTCAAAATCGATGCGTAAAGAAAATAAATCGTACTTCACTAGAAAAACATCGACGTAATAAGGCAGATCGCATACTCTTTTGCAGCAAACTAATAGAGCAAGACACTTTTGTCCAACAATAATTTCGTCATTACAGTCTCAGCTATTTTTTGCACAGCGTATAAATGCATCCAGTTTTCTAAACAAGCATCGAAATTGTATAAGGAACTTTTCAAATGCAATTATAATCGAAATTTTACCTACATTCTGTGAGAAGTCAAAATGACTTGTACCGACACGTCTAAGTATACTACACAGAATACGAAAGAAATGTTGCCTATATATTCGAATAAAAATGAAGGAAAATTTCAGAAAACATGCAAGGATCGCAACAAGTCACTTTGACTCCCCTTGGTAGTTCTAGTGTTAATAATAATAATAACAACAACAATAATAATGTTAACAATGATGACAATGATATCAATTAATCCATTCAGCCGAAATAACGTAATCACGATTCGTTAATAAAATTTGAAATAATATTTATATCCGTGTGAAAAATCTGTGTCGTATGATTACATAGAAATTCGAGAAACACAAAGATGGCCGTAAATCGAGTAAACTAGAAAAAAAAAAATAGAAAAAGAAGAGAATGAAACTGCGAATAATTGTACGCAATAAATAATTACGCTGTTTCGTAATTCTATATTTATACGTATAGGTAATATTAGGTAGTTGATTTGCCGTTTGATAAGTCGTTACGCGCGTCCGCGATGCGCGTTGCATTCGTTCCGTGATTGGTTGCCTCGATTCCCGTTGCGAAACTTGAGCCTCGACGAATCCTCGGACGAGCCTTGCTCGGTCGAAACACGCAGGAAAAAGTTTCGTCGAGCAACGATCATCGATAGGAACGAAACGGATTCGAGGGTGAATCGGGAAACGAGGGCAGAATGCACCGGACGGACGCAAAACCCTCTGGCAGTCGATCGTGTCTCGAGAATCGCCATCCAATGCGACGGTAATGACAGACAGCGAACGAGAAAAATACGACGATGCGGCTAAAAAATGTCGTATCGAATTCGACCAGCTATTCGGCTAGGATTAATTACTTTTCCATTTTGTGTATGCGCGCGCACGCACGCGTATGTGTATGTATATGCTTTTTCGTAATTAATTAGAGCGTATTTAGGCCTGTGGGCTACTTTTCTTCAGCGACTCGTAAATCCCCTTCCCACTCCGTTCAGAGCTATTCGGTCGAGTAATAACGCGCAGATATTTCACAGCTAAACAGTTTACGGATTAACAAAAAGTTTCCGCTTGAATACCCGAACGAATTACTCGACAAACTTCCTCCTCGACGAAGAAAGAAAGAACGAAAGACCGTCGGTCTTTCTCTTTGGAAACTCGACTGGAATTTGATTTTTTGCGTCGCATCGGAAGACGAAAGAGTTTACGCGGTGCACCGGAAACCGATTTCGTTTCCAACGAGTCGCGAAACATCGTTGCAGTTACGATGTCTGTCGTAGGCATCGCGTCGAATTGATCGAAAAACGTTTCTTGCCGTTCGACGCGTTGCGAGCGATCACTATACATTCATTTATATACAGAATTAGCCACAGTTTGTTAAGCGACGATTCGAACCATGATCGTACACAAGTTCACGTCAACGTTCGAACATTCGTAAAACGGACATGAATTACGCGTCGAATATCTTTCGTTGCGAAACTCGAATGACGGGTATCGATCTACGATCACTGTGTATCGGTCGGTGGTACAAACGGGAAAGTGAAGATTCTAATTGTAAGAAAAAGAGGAACACTCGTTTTTTAAACAGTTTTATTTGAATAGCTTAAAAATCGTTGAAAGCGACATTCTATTAGCATACGTGCTGTTCCAATAATGGAAACGAAGCTGTTCGTATCAAGAGAATTTTCAACGTCGATTTTCTCGAAAAGAAAGCTTCGCCACCTCTCAGCTTGTACCACAGTCTACCAGGCGGCGTTCTTTATCGGCAACGAAAAACATCGCGGTTCGTAAAACCGTATCACAGAAAACTCGTGAAATATTATCCGAAAACGAACGGCACATCCGTTTTAGTCGTTCGAACATTTTCGTGTGTATACCTTTTTCTCGTGTGGAAAAAATTGCCTCGATCACGATTTTCTCAGGTTCGCCGTTTCTTCGTTCACGCGTTTTTCTCCCGCTGTTCGGCTCGAATCCACCGCGACGCCTGGCGTCGCGATGTTGGATCGTTTAGAGTCCTTTGTACAGACTTCGAAATGCGTAAATCGTTCCGAAGCGTTTAACCTCGGATCAGAGCCGCTTTTCTTTCTCCACTCGTTGCTTTCGTCGACGACGATGACGGCACCGGACAAAAGTCGCGGAAAGGATCGTTGCTCGTCGATCGAATCACGTTGGTCGCCGTTCAGCCATCGATTATCCGATTCGCGATCGTTCGTTCCGCTCCTTCCCGCCATCGAACGAGAACCTTTAAGGCGGTATCCACAGATCTGGATAATTTACGGTGGAAACTCTCCCCGATATTTCTTTCTCTTAATATTTGAATAAAATCCTACGTTCGTAAAATCTTAATAAAAATCGTTTATGATTGTAAGCACGAAATATTCAACAGCGTAAGATGGCGGTAAAATTCAAATCTATTTGAACGAAGTACTCTTACTGATTTAATATGGAATAGTAAAATTTCATTAAAACGTTTAATTTCTATTTGTATTAAATTAAAATGTTCTTGTATATATTAGAATAAATGAAGAAAATATTATAACAAAGTTTCGATCATAAATCGATTTGAATTTTCCCGCCGTCCGAGATGCCCTTCTCTAATTAAATAATTCTCGACCTTCCGTCCGGTTTGAGAACTTGTGAGACGCGTCTCTTATTGGTGAGAGAATTCTTTTTTTTTATTTCCCAGATCTGTGTATACGTGCTATGAGGATGCGGCAGCGACAGCGGCGGATTCTGCAAGGGAAAATGGCGAACAGGGAAAAGCGAAGAAATTTCGGGACAGTGATAGCTAATATCCGTCGTATTGAGGTACGGAAACGGAATAGAACTTCCTGGAAACGATGGCATTCTTCCGAACGACAGATTCGTGAAATCCTGAACAGAAACCGTGAAGAAGGAGCAAAAGTTTTCGAGGGAAAGAGAGGAGGAACGAGAACATCGGAACAGCGGTTTTCTCGTGAAATTCGCGTCGATTCTTCGCGATCACGATAGGTAAACCGGAGCGCGTTTACCGTTCCTTTCGATGCTAGGTATTGTATGTACAAACGCACCACGATACCATCTTCGTTAGTTAATTATCCAAAAGTTATTATACACAGCGCATCGAGAAATAGTCCGGGGTGAACACGATACTTTCCACGGTTCACCGTTTGCCGAATCGACGACCCACGCGTCAGTTTTCCCGTTTCGGGTCGTTGGAACGCGAGAGGACGCTGTCCCTTTCCTTCGGCTCTTACCTTATATATTTACACGATATTATACACATAATCGAAAACGCGTATTCAACGAACTAGAAACTGTCGAGAAGTCGACGGTGGCGAAAAAATCGGTGCTCGATCGCGTTCGGTCATTGACTCTCCGTTGCCTCCGAACTTCCTTAGCGTCGTTCCGAAACGACCAACGAATAAACTCTCTTTTCGTCGACGAATAAATTCGAGAATCGTTCGTCTCCGCTCTGACGCGTGCGTCGTCCATTCGCATTTTCTCCTCTCGACTTACCTCGCTCTTTCTCGATCTCCCGGACGCTTTCTCTTCCTCGTCTCTCGTTCGAAATAAAATCGGAAGGATCACCGAAAATCGAATGGAACAATGGAACACTCGATTCGAACAGGTCTGATACAAACTCTTACGTGATACTCATGGGATCTAGAAAATAATTCACTGTTTAACGCCCTCTAGGTTAGCTTTCGAAGCAGTCGCTGAACCGTATCGAATTATCATGAGATGTTACACATGTTCAATGAAATATTACAGGTATACAAATATTTGCAATATTGTGTAATATTTCTTTGCAATATTTTCTTTAGTTCGGAAAAATTAACGATCAAAATATGACGTTTATTTTTAGATTCATTTACCGACGCGACTGGGCCCATTTACCGACGAAGGAAAATTGACTGCGGTACTCAAAGGTAGGAAATCTTGAACTAAAGATTTGGAACACGAAAGGCTTTACAAATGAAGAAATATTTTTAGACTCTGTTACCGGCGCAGCTAGGCCCATTTACGAACGAAGGTAAATCCACTGTGGTACTCGAAGGTAGGAAATTTTGAAGTAGTCAAAGATATGGGACACGAAACGCTTTACAAAAGAAGAAATATTTTTAGATTCATTTACCGACACAACTAGACCCATTTACCAACGAAGGAGAATTGACTGCGGTACTTGAAGGTAGGAAATTTTGAAGTAATCAAAGATTTGGAACACGAGACGCTTTACAAAAGAAGAAATATTTTTAGACTCTGTTACCGGCGCAGCTAGGCCCATTTACGAACGAAGGTAAATCCACTGTGGTACTCGAAGGTAGGAAATTTTGAAGTAGTCAAAGATATGGGACACGAAACGCTTTACAAAAGAAGAAATATTTTTAGATTCATTTACCGACGCAACTAGGTCTATTTATCGACGAAGGAAAATTGACTGCGGTACTCAAAGGTAGGAAATCTTGAACTAAAGATTTGGGACATGAAATGCTTTACAAAAGAAGAAATATTTTTAGACTCTGTTACCGACGCAGCTGGGCCCATTTACGAACGAAAGCAAATTGACTGTGGTACTCAAAGGTAGGAAATTTTGAAGTAGTCAAAGATATGGGACACGAAACGCTTTACAAAAGAAGAAATATTTTTAGATTCATTTACCGACACAACTAGACCCATTTACCAACGAAGGAGAATTGACTGCGGTACTTGAAGGTAGGAAATTTTGAAGTAATCAAAGATTTGGAACACGAGACGCTTTACAAAAGAAGAAATATTTTTAGCCTCGGTTATCGACGCAGCAGGGCCCATTTACGAATAAAGGCAAATTGACTGCGGTACTCAAAGGTAGGAAATCTTGAACTAAAGATTTGGAACACGAAAGGCTTTACAAATGAAGAAATATTTTTAGACTCTGTTACCGACGCAGCTGGGCCCATTTACCGACGAAGGCAGATCGACTGCAATTGGAGATTAACTTATTCGAAGATTTGGGACACGAAAGGCGTACGAAATAAAAAGAAAAGCGATTAGTTCGAAACGAGGAGCGGGAAAGAGAGAGCATCCGACGGATTGATTTTACGCGGTGAACTTTTGACGATGCATCGCATATGTATACCTATACATATCATACACTTTGCATAATATTATATATATGTACACGCTGAAAGTACGCGCGTACACGCGTACGCACGCGATGTCTCATTCTACTTACAGTAATAGTTTATCTTATAAATAATTTTGCGTTTAATCTTGATCGAGCGTAGCCTGCGTTCGCGCACGCTTCCTCTTTTCGCGTTCGCGTTACAATCGATAGAAAGGCTGCCGGAGCGAAAAACGGAAGAACGAAACGCGACGAGGAGATCCTTGATCCACGTTTTCTGCGTTCGATCACGGATCTACCCCGGAGCTTCGAGATCCACGGAGTCCGCGTTCGATTCTCGAATCGTTAGGTTGGTCCGTCGCGGGTCCGCGTTGCGTTCGAGAGTCTCGGAGCGACGGAGACGAGAACTCGTCGATTAAAATCTGGTCAGGGTGGCGAATTCTTACGGACAGGAAACGTTCGAGAAAGACGGTGGAACGTTAAGGCTCGACCTTCGGCTGGAAGAATAGAAGCGTATTCTGGTGTAAAATCGATGTCGCCCGGAGCCGCGAGAAAATAGAGCGCATGGGATCCGATGGGATGGGATGCACGTAGGAATGCACCTTCGATGCAGTGGCGCACCTGGACGCGTCCTGGTCGTTTAATTTCGATCGAGACGAGCTCTGCATTCGCCGTCGCGTCGTAAAATTTTACGGCGTTTTATTCTTCGAACATATCGAAGTCGTAACCTCGAAACTGTCTTTTCCTTTTTAACCTCTTAGGCTGCTCTGCACGCCAAAATTATGCTACAATGCCAGTACAACTTATTGAAATGTTTTTCATGATTATATTCCAAACCTTGATAATTTTTTAGAAAACTCACAAAATGTGCAATATGCTATATGGTGCCTCGGTTACCTTTTATTTACACGTAATGTACTTTTGTGGCTCTTATAAAACGTGAAGGCAAAAAGGTGCGAAAATGAAGATCAAACTGAGCCAGTAGAGCTACGATGACATTCGGTGGTCGCACAGAGGCATCCTAAGAGATTAATCGAAGACGATCGTCTCCGAATCGAAAGCTCGAAAAACCGACGCAACGCGTTCGCGGGTCAGTTCGGAGCCGACCTTCGGTTATCAAATTTCCCGATAACGTCGTAAAATAACCGATGACCCACATAGCCCGACGGGTTTTATTTTCGCGAGATCGGCAGAAATTCCGAGGGTCGGATCGAACTGCAGATTCGCGGACTCCGTGAGGAGGAAAGAGCGAGAAGAGGGAGAAGGAAAAGGAAACGGCACTTCCCGGCGACGCGTCGGTTCTAGGAGATCCTCGATCGGTAGAGTTTCTAGAGCGTTCCCCGTCGGAAGGGTCGGTACGATCTCACCAACGAAGCGAAAACTCGACCAGCGTTCGGTCGATCGAGCTCATTGATATGTCTGTGTCTCGTCTCCCGTCGTCAGAGGTATCGTTGACTCGTTAACATCCTTCGAAAGACCGTCGGCCGATCTCGGCATCCTCGACGGTCGAGGACGGTCCGCGGACTGCTGGCTGACCGAGCTAGACGAAACCTCGGGCGTCGAAGATTCGAGGGGCGCCGTCCGAGTCCACCTGGAGCGCGAGCCTCTGGGTGAACAGCGTCCCGAGCACCGCCAGGCTCAGCACCAGCAGCAAGTGACCCCCGTCGTTCACGCTGATGCCGCTGCACGTCTCCTTCGCGCCCAGCTCCAGTTTCGCTGCAACAACGATTCACGTTTTTATCAATTTAATTAAAAATTTTCTCTCTTAGATCAGCTTGTAGACCAATAATGGATTCATGACGCACTCTTGACGCACCAATGATGAGTTCGTGACGCACCCTTGACGCACTAGTGATGGATTCATGACGTATTTTTGATACACCCTTGGCGCACTAATGAAGAATTCATGACGAATGATGAATTCGTGACGCACCCTTGACGCACCAATGATGGACTCATGACGCACCTTTGACGCATCAATGATGAATTCGTGACGCACCCTTGACGCACCAATGATGGACTCATGACGCACCTTTGACGCATCAATGATGAATTCGTGACGCACCCTTGACGCACCAATGATGGACTCATGACGCACCTTTGACGCATCAATGATGAATTCGTGACGCACCCTTGACGCATTAATAATAGATTTATGACGCACCCTTGACGCACCAATGATGAGTACGCGACACACCCTTGACGCATCAACGATGGACTCATGACGCACTCGTGACACACCTTTGACGCATTCATGACGCACCAATGACACACTCCTAATGCACCCTTGACGCATCCTTGTCACATTCACGACGCACTAATGACGCACTCCTAATGCACCCTTGACACATCCTTGACGCATTCATGACGCACACCTAATGTACCCTTAACCCACTAATGACGCATTTGTGACGCACCTTTGACGCACTCATGACGCACACGTAAGCCACCAGTGACGCACACATGACGCACTTCAGCTGTCATTAATTTTACTCATATTTTTGATACAGTACAATTTGGAGTTGAAGTCCAACTATAATTTTTACAGTGAACGATTTCTTCACTGTTTGTTCTTCAATATTTGTTCGCTTATACTATTAATAGTATTAATATACTATTAATACTATTTTAATATACTAATGGTTCTGAGGCACCTAAAAAATCATATTGCAAGGGGGTTAACCGTTACACCTGGTACAATTCGTAACAATTTAGCCGGTGAATATTTAGTAAACCGCGCGTTTTATGGCAACGCGAAGCGGCAACCGAGGTCTCGTAAAGTTACTCGGTTAAAAAGACGCGGTTTCGACGATCGTTATCGGGAATTTAGGCATCGGGGCGATCGTGCGGTGTCCGCAGCAGCCGCGTGACGTCAGCCGAGTTAAACGCACCCTTGCGTCCGACGTGTTTGCCGTTTCGCGTAATCTACTATGCGGCAGAGAACTGCCGTTGACACCGCGCCAATGCGAAATCCTCTGGAAACGGGCCGCGATCAAATTCGCGATACTGACCCGTTATCTCCCCCTAACGATCCCTCGTTAAACCCTATTTATGCTTATGCCGCAACGTTTTGACTTCCGTCCAAGATTCTGTCTCTGTATCCTACCGTCGCTTCGACCGGAACGCGATTCGATTTCACGCAACCCTGCGTCCGAAAAAAATTCGGAAACGATTCCCTCATTATTTCGGGGACTCAAAGGCCGGTAAAGAAACCAGCGGGGACGGAAGGGGTGGCTCGGAGCATGGAGTAGGGGTTTTGATCGCGGCACCCAGGAACGAAACGGACGAGCAGGGACGAGCAGGGCAGACCGAGGGTGAGGGGGTGGAAACTGGCCGCTCAGGGTGGATCGATGCCGCCGCGGTACGTCCGTGCGCGCAAACCTGCGCGCGTGTGCGTGCACCTGTCTACACGTGCACCCCTCACGAGATGCGTAGACGCTTCAATCCACGATTTCTCCCGGACCAGGAAGCCACCCTGCGATATCGATCTCCCGCCCGATCGAATCTCGATCGAACGCGCCACTTAACCCTTCTCCATTTCTTTCACCTCAATTTACGGACTCCCAATAAGACTACAATATGACCATTTTTTCTTCCCTTGCAAATAAATAGAATTATAACGCAAGCTATTTGCCTGACTAGTTGTTAACCCCTTGCACTATGGCTTATTTGTCAAGTGCGTTAGTCAGAACTAATTACAGCTACAATATTAATACAGACAAAAAAATTTGTAATTCTATGTCAATATCTTATCATACAATCCATTATTGGTGCTTCAAGGATGCGTCATGAATCATTGGTGCGTCAAGAATCCATCATTACGTTTTCAAACAAAAACTCGAGTCGCAGAATCGAACCGCAAATAAGCTAAGCTAGTTTTATCAAACAGCTAGAAACTCCAATATATCGCAGCAAAGAGGAAAAAATGGGGCAGTAACACCCAAAGAGTTGAAATATTTAGGAAGATGATACGTCTGTTGTCGTTACCATCGATAATGGCGTGCATTTATAATTAACGATTGTCGGTCGCAGGAATAGAATGCGCGTAAAAATTTCAGTCGAAATAAATCGACTTTGCTCCAGATAAAGAGGGAATGGAATAAACCACGCGCATTACTGTTTTTTACGTAAACCGATAAACAAGCGAAGTTAACAAATTTTTAAATAATAAAAAAAGTCTACAAATTAATCACTTAACGTCAAGTTTATCAAGGGTTCTAAAAAGGGTAAAAAGTTGGAAAATATTCTTGAGTTTCTCGCATTCGTTCGTTTTATCCCGTTTGCGGGAGTTCGTGAAAGGAGATCGAGACGCTAGCTGCGGGCTACGATGGATATTCGAAAGAAAAAGTAAAAGGGAAGCATGTTGGAAGAACGGTAGCAATTTTCCGCAGCATCGTCGTTTTTATTCCAGCATCGTACAGTCCTTTTCTGGCCCATCCGTTTTCACTGTCGGATCTGACGGTCTTCTTTCACTCGTCTCTCGAACGGGTCTTTGACTCGCGATCGTCGGTGAATTCCTTTTGAACCGGAAGTCGTTTGATCTCCGTTCGATTCTTAACGAACAAACGCTTCGGAATTAAACGACGCGTTCTCTATTCCTTTCTGGTTCTTCCACGTCGATGCCTGCCTTTCGGCGATCAAACTCCACTACGCTTATTGTCACTTTTGATATTTTTCATTTATTGTCAATTGTATTTGAATATGTTCTCTGTATACTCTCTGTATATTCTTGTAAACTCTCTGAGCATTTATTTGGACATTTAAAAGTCCAGCACTTTGCAAATTCAAGCTCTAGAGAATTTGAGAATTTGTCAAAGTTTAACTTTAAATAGTTTATTACACAACTCTGGTTCTCAAGATATAATAAGATAAATATATGTAATGTAATAAGATAAATATGAACATTGTACTTGTAGGAACTCAGTAGATTCGTCACAGTCGAAGCGTGGCTCATCAAAATATGGCTCCATAAAATTCTTTGCAGTCGAAAGTATTTTTGCAGTCGGCAAACTTAGTCGAAACGTTTGACAATTTTTTCAGAAATTATCTTTCCACCGTTAACTGTTACTATCGGCATCGCGTTTACGTCGTGTAACGCTACAGATTTAATTTTAGGAAAATACCTATTCAAATTGTATTAAATACGACGGTGACCCTTCGAGAGGGTCGAAAGAGAAAGAAAGTCACGTGAATTTTTTATTCAGCTAACTATGCAAATCGTAATCGAACTCTAAGTTGTAGCACATTAATTCGAGGAAGACAGTCGAAGCGCGAGTGCGCGAGGTGTCAGGCTCGTGAAAATGCAAGGGGTGAAAATTATCGTACTGCTCGAACCTGGAGCATTACGGTATAAGGATCCATTGATACGAAACGGCGTCGATACGCAAACATACTGTTCGCCGTGGAGCCCTGGATACTTGACCCTCCGCACTCGAAAGGCGATTTCATTTAATACAATTTCAAATATCTTTGTCACGGTGACGATTAGACGCGAGGATTCCCAACTGTATCTTAGAAATTTCACTGCAAACTAGTTTTCCCATGAACGACTGTACGAGGGTCGTTTCACGTTTTGCTGGCTGTATTTTTGTGACGAGGGAGAAGTTTTGGGAATTGTTTCGATGAGGGAATTGATAGTAAATATTGCGTACTTAGTTAAAATTTCCTACTGTTTCAGTGAGGTAGTGTGAACCTAAGTGTACGTGACTACACATAGTAAATATTGTGTAGATATTTTTGGTAAGATTTGTTGAAGCAGCCAACATATTAATAATGAACCTAATTGTAAGTGTATGATCTACACATAGTACATATTGTTTACATATTTTTGGTATGATTGAAGCAGCAGTGTTAATAATGAACTTAACACTGCTTACTAATAATGAACTTAATAATGAACTAATAATGAACTTAAGTGCATGATATGGACAATCTCGACAAGTTAAACAAAATGGCCGTGCGACTAGAGCTTAAGAGCTTCTGCTCTTAAGGAAGCAATTAGTATCGCGAATCGAATATAACGATCCATATATCCAATTAAAAGAAAGGTCCCTTGGAAAAGGACTAAGATATCGATTCCAGCTTTGATCTTCGTAACCAAAGAGAGTCTCGATTCTTTTTTTCCAACCGATCGCAGATCCTGAAAAGCAGGCTACCTTTGATCTCCCCGTGAAAAGGAAAAAGGAGGTCGAAAGGCTCGATGCATCGTAAATCGCGTATCGATTACGTTCGAAACTGCAATTCGGTTAATCGGCATCCTCGAAACAGTCGCCCTTTGACAACGTGCTTAGAATAAAAGTTGCAAAGGTCGTTAACGAACCGCTGCACGGTCTAATCGGCAACGCTCTCCCGTTTTACGCGTTTGTGAGCTCTCGCTTTGATTAGCACTGGTTCTCTCTAATGTATGGAAAACGAGTGGAAAGGCGCGGAACGAAAAATCGCCATGAAAACCGAAATCACTCTCGACCTTTATAATTACTCGCTTTTTAATTCGGATCTGATACTGTTATTTCGGAGAACCGTCGATCCTCGAAATTCTCTTTCCCTGGTATTTCTCTATCGAATTCTATTTGTTTTATTGTTTGCATCAGGTATGCTGGTGGATTTGATTAAAAAATATTTGTTACAAATTACTGTGGAATTTGTATGATGTTCAAATGTAAAAGCAATTTATGGGATGTGATACTAGAGGCAAATTTTCTTTGTTTTCCTACTAGAAATTTCACTGCAAACTAGTTTTCCTATGAACGACTGTACGAGGGTCGTTTCACGTTTTGCTGGCTGTATTTTTGTGACGAGGGAGAAGTTTTGGGAATTGTTTTGATGAGGGAATTGATAGTAAATATTGCGTACTTAGTTAAAATTTCCTACTGTTTCAGTGAGGTAGTGTGAACCTAAGTGTACGTGACTACACATAGTAAATATTGTGTAGATATTTTTGGTAAGATTTGTTGCAGCAGGCAACGTGTTAATAATAAACCTAAGTATGATGTGACACTTATGTACACTTGTGCAAGGTTATGTATTTGGTTAGATTAGATCTAACGTATCACTCAGCGAAGATAGCTGCGTATCCCCGAGTTCTCTCCGGAACTTTATTTTCCGTCTTCGTGAGCCGGAAAGAGGAAATCTCTTTAAGTCGCCCACGGGTTATCCCGTTCCGTGCCAACGATTCCGTAATTTCAGAAAAGCTTTCGAGAGCGGTTCGACGTCGGTGCCAATAAAAATTGGCTCGTCGCTGAGCTCTCGCGATTTTTATTCGCCGCTGGATCAAAGACGAAACAGACGCGTATTATGCTCCGAATAAGAATCGTTGATTGGCACGCGGCCATTTCTTCCCTCGGATCCGGCTTTCTGTAAGGAGCGGGGTAAGCAGCCTCGATTAATAGCTCGGCTCGGAGTCAATGGGACGCGAAATTGCTTTCCGAAGGAAACAGAACTAGTCCGGCTTCTTCCATCTCCCTCGACGTATTTCTAAACTGCTGGCTCGTTAAATCACTGGGTCGTCTCAGGAGTTTCAGAACCTTTAGTTTTTTTTTTCTTAAGACCCATTTACCTAAGTTCGCGTAATCGCGATACGTTTCCATTTTCCCGATTCCTTCAAAAGGCGATTACGTTAAAAGGAAGGCTTCTTAGGGTTTTGAAGCTCTTCTGTCTCGGCGGTGAGATTTACTGAATGAGTCGAATTTCCTTTTGTAAATTTTGAAGGTATTTTATAGGAATTTAGGAACTTTTCAATAGCTTCAGATCTGGAGCTCTCTTATTAATTATTTAATAGAAAATTGGTAAAAATCTCCGTTGTTGCTTCAATAATTTCTCACGTATAGAACTTCTACCCACGCAAATAAGTAAAAATATCCATTTCAAGTTATTAATAATCTCAAAAGTTATTAATAACGTCAAGAGCTCCTATCAAATGTCAGGTGTAAAGACTCCTTTGCAGCAGCATTCACCGTCGAAAATCATCGAGATAAGTAATCGTTAACTCCATACAATGAATCTCCATAGAAGACCGTTTAACCGAGCAGAAAATCGCTCGAAAAGTAATCGCGAGGATCGATTCGGTCTCGAAAGCTCGTTAACGAAACGCATTTTCTACTCAACAGGTGTCATAGAAGAGAGTATGTCTCGTCGGATAAAACGCTGCTAAATGCGAAAAAAGCGTTACTCACACGTGGCGGCTAGCAGTTGGGGAAGGTACTTCTTCCAGAAGGTGCACTGTTTCACCCTAGGCCCGTTGCCGATTTCGGAGCTGTTCGTGTCCAGCGTGAGGTACTCCTTGGTCGCGGCAGTGTGCGGTGGCCAGTAAGGTTGTGTCCATGACTCCACGTCGCCGATGTTCGGGTCCCTAACAAAGTCAAACGCGTAGAATAAATTTGGATGAAGGGTAGTGAGACAAAATTTTAGATTTTTAAACGAGGTAAGTACGAGTTGCGAGAAGCTTAAGGCGGGGCAAGTTTTGAAGGAGATAGGTACAAGGTTTGAAAATATTGAAGCAAAATTTAATGTAAGTACATAAGGATCTAACTCCGTCGAAATGGTATAACCACCGATCAAGTATTCGATGGACTCCTGTATCCGCAGGCCATCGACTACGTAAAATTTCACTTTCGTAGACTAAATTTGGATCGGAACGGAGCGAGACAAAATTAAGGCCGGACAACGATTTTAACGAATTAACAAATAACTAGAGTGACTTTATTTCTTCCGAGTATAGCAAGACCAAGCGCGTTGACTCGCGTACAAATATGTACATCTTCCCGATACACTGGGGCGGGAAAAACGAGGAGTGGGAAAGGGCTGACTTTCCCCAAATTGGGAGTTCCCAGTTTCCCCTGGCAGTGGTGCACCGGCCCAAACCGTTGCACGGCCACCCATCCGGCACTCGACCTCCTACAAATTACCCTCACAGTAATAAACCCAAGATCGCCTCGACTTTTCAAACTACGTGGAACCGAAAAAATATGGCTACAACCTTGGGCTCAATGCGCAAACCGCCCGGGTAAAATGGACAAGTTCCTTGGTCTTTTGCTATGGTACCTTCGATATTAAACTCGATTAAATGTATAATAATTTCTATGTTAATCTACTCTTTTTTAGTGGTAAAATTAGGTGAGCAAGAGCAAAGACCATCATGGGTCAATTCTTTTTGTGGGATTGCAACTTGGAAGGACATGTGAGTAAATTAAATTAACTTACCCCGTCTTCGCAAAGTTTGCCCAGTATCTCATCATCCTCCTCGACAGGTTCGCCTCCTCCTGCGTGTAGCCCTTCGACGGATCCAACGGCTCCCCGAAGATGTAGCTGATCTCGTCCGCATGCATCACTCCGGTCCACCTCGGCCAGGGATTGTTCGCCGATCTGCACCAGAAAAAAGCATGTCTTAGAAAAAGAAATTTTGAATAAGTTCTATACTTTGTCTAAAAATTGTCTTTGTTTCATGGGAAACATGGGTTACAGGGTTTAGGGAGAGGTTTAGTACTGCACTGTTTCATTATTAATGTCACAAGTCTGTAATGTCAGAAGTTTCTAATGTCACAAGTCTCTAATGTAACAAGTGTCTAATATCATAAGTGTTTAATGTCACAAGTCTGTAATGTCAGAAGTTTCTAATGTCACAAGTCTCTAATGTAACAAGTGTCTAATATCATAAGTGTTTAATGTCACAAGTCTGTAATGTCAGAAGTTTCTAATGTCACAAGTCTCTAATGTAACAAGTGTCTAATATCATAAGTGTTTAATGTCACAAGTCTGTAATGTCAGAAGTTTCTAATGTCACAAGTCTCTAATGTAACAAGTGTCTAATATCATAAGTGTTTAATGTCACAAGTCTGTAATGTCAGAAGTTTCTAATGTCACAAGTCTCTAATGTAACAAGTGTCTAATATCATAAGTGTTTAATGTCACAAGTCTGTAATGTCAGAAGTTTCTAATGTCACAAGTCTCTAATGTAACAAGTGTCTAATATCATAAGTGTTTAATGTCACAAGTCTGTAATGTCAGAAGTTTCTAATGTCACAAGTCTCTAATGTAACAAGTGTCTAATATCATAAGTGTTTAATGTCACAAGTCTGTAATGTCAGAAGTTTCTAATGTCACAAGTCTCTAATGTAACAAGTAAACTCGATTAAATGTATAATAATTTCTATGTTAATCTACTCTTTTTTAGTGGTAAAATTAGGTGAGCAAGAGCAAAGACCATCATGGGTCAATTCTTTTTGTGGGATTGCAACTTGGAAGGACATGTGAGTAAATTAAATTAACTTACCCCGTCTTCGCAAAGTTTGCCCAGTATCTCATCATCCTCCTCGACAGGTTCGCCTCCTCCTGCGTGTAGCCCTTCGACGGATCCAACGGCTCCCCGAAGATGTAGCTGATCTCGTCCGCATGCATCACTCCGGTCCACCTCGGCCAGGGATTGTTCGCCGATCTGCACCAGAAAAAAGCATGTCTTAGAAAAAGAAATTTTGAATAAGTTCTATACTTTGTCTAAAAATTGTCTTTGTTTCATGGGAAACATGGGTTACAGGGTTTAGGGAGAGGTTTAGTACTGCACTGTTTCATTATTAATGTCACAAGTCTGTAATGTCAGAAGTTTCTAATGTCACAAGTCTCTAATGTAACAAGTGTCTAATATCATAAGTGTTTAATGTCACAAGTCTGTAATGTCATAAGTCTGCAATGTGACAAGTCTGTAATGTGACAAGTCTGTAATGTCATAGTGTCTCTTGTGTCACAGTGTCTCTACTGTCACAGTGTCACTATGTCTCTAGTGTCACAATGTTTCTAGTATCACAATATCTCTAATGTCACAGTGTCTATACTGTCACAGTGTCTGTAATGTCACAGTGTCTCTAGTATCATAGTGTCTCTAGTGTCATACTGTCTCTAATGTCACAGTGTCTCTAATGTCATACTGTCTCTGATGTCACAGTGTCTCCAATATCACAGTGTTTCTAGTGTCATACTGTCTCTAATGTCACAGTGTCTCCAATATCACAGTGTCTCTACTGTCACAGTGTCACTAGTGTCACAATGTCTCCAGTGTCATACTGTCTCTTATGTCACAGTGTCTCCAATATCACAGTGTCTCTAGTGTCATACTGTCTCTTATGTCACAGTGTTTCCAGTATCACAGTGTCTCTAGTGTCATACCGTCTCTAATGTCACAATGTCTCCAGTATCACAGTGTCTAGTATTACACTGTCTCTAACGTCATAAGTCTCTAATGTCTCTTAGTAGTGTCTCTAAAAAAGAGTCAGACTCCCAGTCCCAGACCAGACTACCATACTATCGACCTTCCGTATTCAGTTCATATTTAACCTAACCATCACATGAACAAACTCCATCCACATGTATATCCATCCTACGTCTCTCTAAACTCCATCATCCCATCAGTTCCCACGACCGTACCTGTGCTTGTAGTAGTACATGTAGACAGTGTTCCCAGTATCGGCGTACCGCCCCGCGAACTCGTTCACGTTGCAAGTGAACTGGTAATCGCCGACAATCTTATCAAGCGCGTCTCGATTCACATGTGGATCATCGGGACGCAGCCAGTCGGTGTACTCATAAATAATAGCGTGCCTCCCGATCTGGTTCACATAGGGATTCAGTTCAGACACGGCGCTGACGAACTGTTCCCTGCTGACCTTCACGTCCTCGGTGCCATCGATGCGGAACAGCTCGGTCAGATAGTAGATGATGAAGTAGAAGCCCTCCTCGGTGTTGGAGCCCATCATGATGTTGGCCTTCTTGAAGGAGGAGGTGGCCAAAGATCGCTGTGGCGTCTCGTCGAGGAAGGCGCCGTCGATGACGGGCACGAAGGGGAACTCGCAGATGCCGAGAGTGCCCCACTCGTTCTTCACCAGCTCCACTGGGTCCTTCACCAGCAGACAGTCGATTACTTCTTGCAAATTATCCCGGTCGTGTGGACAACCGACCGCTTCCGCCAGGCGGATCC